AGGACAAAGTAGAACTGCCCCATGGGGTTTCCAAGGCTGTAATCTTTACAGGAACAGATTGCCAGGTTTTTTCTCCCACAGAGCCACTGGTAGGTTCAAACTCCAAACTTTTGGTTAGCAGCTGAGCTTTTAACCACTGAGCCACCGAGGCTCCTTCCTTTTAGTGATACATCATGCTAAATTCACGTTTCTTAGCCTGAGATTTGTGGCTGTCAACAACCATTGCTAACTTGCCATTCTACCTATCTTCTATTAAGCTTATAATCCACTCAGACCACCCTAGTCATTATACCTTGAGTTTGGCCTTATGCTTTTCCTCTTCTGAATATTTACTTATCTCACTAATCTCTATGCAAATCCTACTTTATTCCTTAAGACTTCATTTAAATCCTGTGTCTTCTGTGCTTGCTTGATTATTCAGTTAGAAGTCAGTCTCTTTGGTGTTCAAAAATAAAAATAGTCCATATTATCTAAATTATATATTTGTCACCTTAAACTACTTTGTGCTATTATCTTTTTGATTTTATGTTTCTTAAGAAGACTTTGTCTTATATGGTTTCATGTTCTATTGAGCATTGTTACGGTCCCTTGCACATTATGAGTTTTTGATATTTGTTATTGATTGTACTCAAATTACTGATTTGAATCATAATTAGAGTAAAATTTTATTTTCTGTTTTTCAGTTAACCTTTGTTCTAATCCTGAGGATAAGCTTCAAATTTATAGGGACAATTTTGAGAAGGCATACTTGGATTCAACAGAGAGATTTTATAGAACACAGGCACCCTCGTATTTACAACAAAATGGTGTACAGAATTATATGAAATATGTAAGTCAGAACTTAGCATATGTGATAATTTGAGCTATTTTCCTGATATTCTTAAAAATGATTGCTATTTTGTTTCTGGACAGGCAGATGCTAAATTAAAAGAGGAAGAAAAACGAGCACTACGTTACTTAGAAACAAGACGAGAATGTAACTCTGTTGAAGCAGTAAGTAATTTTGTAATTGTACATTCTGTGGAATTATTTGAAGTACAGTAGCCCAGTGATGGCAAATACATGATACACATAACATTATTCATCCTTTCTCATGTCCCTGACAAACATTACTGATTTATCATAATACTCTTTCCCAATGAGCTAAAGTACAGCTCCAGAAGGCAACTGATTCAGAACATATTGTTCTTCAGAGCCGGTATGCAAGATAAAATCTATTTGCCATCCCTGCTGTAGAGTTTACTATATTTAATGTGCTTAATTTTTAATCAGTCTCCTTGTAGTATGTGTTATGAATATCTAAAGTTAACCATTTATAGTGACATTCATGTTGCAAATAAAATACGGTCCCTAGAAGTCTGTGCCTTTAAAAAAAACATTTAGTTTATTCTACCTATTGTATATTCTCAGGAGAATAGCTGAAATTATTATAATAAAAATTAAATCACATTATTTAATACAAAGTATGATTCCCCCTTTGATCATGATATTAAAAATGGTTCTGAGTTACATACAGTTTTATTTAAATCCATGAATGCAGTACTTTTTACTTTGGATGTACAAACAAAATTCACGTTCACTTTTACTGTAACTTCAATCATTATTGAAACTGAATCAGAATAATTATGATGGAAAATAATTATTTTTTGAACTGATTTTAAATGGATTTGTTGTTTTGAATTAAATTTTGAAATTTTTCAAAATCTTCAGATTAGAGAGAGATTATGTCTTTTTTCAGTTCTCTCTTAGCGTGATTGAAGTTTGTGATCTGAAAAGAATTACTAAGTTAGAATCTGAGTATTAAAGCTCCATAGATGAATTTTTAAAAGGCAAAATGAAGACATGAGTCAAGTAATTTATCCCAGATCAAAACTCTTCTTTTAGAGAACAAAGATATGACTATATTTTTGAACTTAGAATAACATCTTTGTTGAATAATGATCCATTTCACCAGCTAATTATTTTATTTCATTTGGTAAAAATATATGTTCAAACTATCTAATGTGCTAACATGAATAAAATATAGTTCTGCTTGTGGTTGGAGGATGTTTTCCAAACTTCATCTTATAATAAGATAAAATATTATTTGATAAGAGAACACCAGTCTTTTATATTTGTTGTTTTATTTATATTATGTAACAAATTCCTCATTAAAAAAAGTACCTTTTAAGCAGAAGTAGTATCCATGGTAAATATCAGTCCTGGGCATTTCCCTTTACATGGAGAACTGATCTTAGTGTGCTTTAGTAAAAAAAAGTAAGAATCAAGTTGGATGGAATCTGGAAGTCTGCTCAGATATAGCAATATTTCCTTAAGTTCGTTTCAGTCTTCTGGGAACTGGGTTTAGTTTTAAATTTAAAGGAATAACGTTGTAGTTGGCCTATAACCAAACATGTTTCAACTATGATTGGGATTTTTTTTTCTTTTACCTCTCACTTCTCTTTGGCTTCTTCCATCCTGAAGGAGAGTCATGTTTATGGTTTGTTGAAAAGTATGCAGTGGTTATTCTCTTCATGGTTAAAATAACTTTGGTACTAGGTGGGAAAAAAAGGCTAATTTAGTGGTTGTTTATAGAAGTTCGTTATAGAAATTTAAAGCCAGGCTTGGGCTTTATTCAAAAGGCAGGGAAGGCCATTGAATGTTTTTTAGACAGGTGTGCTATGGACAGAGTTGTTCCTTAGGAAGACGAAAGATTAATTGGAGTGGGAAAGAGCTGAAAATAGGCAGAAGGATTTTGCAATACTCAAACAAGGTATTAAAATAATAAGGTAGGGTTTTAACAATAAAAATGGAAAGAACAAGTGTATAGATAGAGACTTCTCACAGGTGGGATATTGTATCATACTGAATGGGGCTAGATATGAGAGAATTGAGTCAATAATATTTCTGAACTGTTACAGAGGTCAGGTGTAAGAATAAGTCTTAGTGGAAGCAGAGAAAAATTAGTTCATTTGGGGGGATTTGAGTATTTTGAGCTGGTTGATGTGCCCGTAGCACTTGGGTGGGGACATTGCAATTTTATAACGTAGAATTGTTCTCTCTATTTCAGTTTATATAGCTGAGTTGTAGCATATGCGCATTAAACGTACGGAAGTTCAACTATATGGGTCCAACTAAGAGAATGACTGTAAGCTAGAGTAAGAAAAAGAGAATGTGTTAGTAAGGGAATGAAAAAGATAGAGATAAACAAATATATACCCGCAGACAATAATTAGTATAGAAGGGTTTAGTCTCCCTTTTTACTTTAATACACACGCATACATATCCACATATACACATTGGGAAAAAAACTTGAAATAGATGACATAAATCCCTCTGCCACAGTTACCAAGGTAAATGATTCTAGGATTTAAAGTATTTTTTTCTTATAGAATAGTCTCTTAAGTACAATATAGCTATATGTTTCCAAAGCAAGTGTACTTTATGGTGGACGTAAGAGGTTTATGTGATTTGTTTTTAATTTTGTTCTAATTTTCTGCTTATTATTTTTAAAATTAACCATTTTGATTGACATATAACATATATACAGGAAAGTGCACAAATCTTAAATGTGTAAGTGTAGTATCACAAAGTGAACATCTCAGAGAATCGATGATGTAACTCGAACAATAAAAGAATTCAGTAAAGTAGCAGGATATAGAATAGACATTCAGTAGTCTTTATGTACACAAATAATAAAGTATATAATGTTAGGGAAAACCTTATTTACAGTAGCAATAAACAATAATACTCAGAAATAAATTTATCAAGAAATGTGGAAAACCTATAAGAAGAAATTTTTAAACACTATTGAAAAACACAGAAATAGACTTGAAAAAGTGGAAAGTCATCCCTTTTTCTTAAATAGAATGACTCAAAATTGTAAAGATGTCAGTTCCCCCTGAATTAATTTATAAATTCGTGCAATTCCAGTAAAAATACCAACAACTATTTCATGAAGTTAGATAAGTTGATACTGAAGTTCATGTGGAAAAACAAACCTGAAAGAATAGCCAAGAAAACACTGGAAAAGAAAAACTATGAGGGGAACCTAGCCTTATGTGACATTAAAACCTCTACAGTTAAAACAGTGTGGTTTTGGCACATGAATAGACCAGCAAACTGGTGGAATGGAATAGAAAGTCCAGAAGTACACCCAAATACATATGGGAATTAACTGTATGATCTCAAATCAGTGGAGGTATAGGGATAGACTTTTTAATAAATGATCTGGGATAACTTGGTAGCCATTTGGAAAAAAGATAATTAGTTCCATATTTCTCATCATAAGATAGAATAAACACCAAATGGATCAGGGATCTAAATGTAAAAAATGAGACCATATAAATACTACAATTCCTCTTCAATCTTTCTGTAGGGAAACGCCTTTTAATATGACTCAAAATTTAGAGGTAATAAAAGATTGATAAATTTGACTACATTTTAAAAGTTGCATGGCAAAAACAAACAAACCCCACCATAAACAAAAGTCAAAAGACAACTGACAATCTGGGAAAAAAATACTTGCGACATGTATCACAGACAAAGGGCTAATATCTCTAATATATAAAGAATTTTTAAAAATAGGGAAAAAATGGAAAAAGATTATGAACAGACAGTTCATACAAAAATATACATAATAATGGCCATCAAACATATGAAAAAAATGTTCAAACTCATTCTTACAGAAGAATTCCAGCTAATAAATGTAGGAGGAAAGAGGGGAATAGACAATCACTATTAGGCAAATACCACAGTAATAATTTTTGCAGACAAACTCCACCAGTGGATACTAAAATTAATGGTTAAACATTTAAATAAAGAGAAATAGGATATTTTCATAGGTTCAAAGTATTTTCCCCAAGATATTAGCAGAGAGAAAAATAGTGACTTTGTAGTGGAGAAACCCAGCAGACACCATCTTAATCAAGTAATCATGGTGAACATAACCAGTAGTAGAACATACTGGCATCATGAACCCCTTGATAAGAAGCACTAAGAAGACACCATCTTTTCTGTGGTATCTTTGCCAAAATGGCATAATCTTATTCTAATCATTAGAAAAGATCAGAGAATCCTAAGTTAAGGGACAGTCTACAAAATAACTGGTTTAAAAGTGCCAGGGTCATAAAACACAAAAGACCAAGGAGCTGTCACAGCTTTGAGGAGATTAAGGAGATAGAACAACTAAATGCAGCGTGGGATCATGGATTGTTACTGTTATCAGGTACCATCCAGACAGCTTCAACTCAGAGTGACTGTATGTGTAACAGAACAAAACGTTGCGGAGTCCTGTGCCTTCTTCACAGTCGTTACCATATTTGAGCCCATTGTTGTAGCCTCTGTGTCACTCCATCTCAGTGAGGATCTCTTTTTTTGCTGACCCTCTACTTTACGAAGCAGGGTTCTGGAATAGGAAAAGTACGTAAGTGGAAAAACTGGTGAATTTCAGACAAGGTCTATAGTTACTTAATAGTATTATACCAATATTATTTTCCTGGTTTTGATATTTGTAGTATAGTTATCTAAGAGATTAACATTAGGGATGTATGGGCACTCTGTGCTATTTTTTGCAACTTTTCTGTAAGTCAAAAATCAGAAGTAAAAGTAAAATAAAAAAGATAATATTATGAGGATTTTTTTTTTATTCGAGAGGCATCAGTGGAGATGATCATATGATGTTTTCCGCCATTGAACTGATTCAGTAAATCACATTAACAGAGTTGAACCATTCTTGCACTTCAGGAATGAACACAAAGTTCTATTTTTAAGAGATAAAAATTTATATCCCAAAAGGATCTTGACATATTCTGTATAGCCAATAAAAGTAGCTCCCAGTATATTCCACTCACAACTTCTTATATGTACAATGTTTAGATGTTAAGTTTATTTGTTATGTAATCAAGTTAATGTCTTTAGGATCATTTTATAGGTTTATCCAAATTCAGTTTGTAATTGAATTAATTTGCGTGTCATTAGAATGGCAGGTTCTGAGAGATGAATCAGTGGAAAGT